CGAAAAGAACCGGTACCTGAACCGATTGGATTTATGGGCGCCTCACTTGGAATCGGAACCGTTATCCAAAAGGTTGTGATAATTGAAACCGATACATGAAAGAAAGGCCAGTTTACAAGGCTTGTTTAGACAGATTATCCCGGACGCAGGCGGTCGACAAATAAAATAAGAAATTCTAAAATTACTAAGAGACTACACACCCACAAACGCTGACAGCTTCTGAACTTCACTTTGTTCTATAACACAGAATTAGATAACAAAATATGGGTTGTCGAATTTGATGACAAATTTTTGGTAGCTGTTCGGACTGTTAGACAAGTTTTAACTTTTAATAGGAAGAGAGAGAACCTTAGCAAAAAGCCTTGCTTTGCTTGCATTTTTCAAATCCACGAAACTTTTCCCTAATCGGACAACATATTTCTTACACCACTTTAGTTAACTTGCTTAGGCACAAATTTATTATAGAAAATGACGAACTGCGTCTTCAACAAAACAAATACGGCTAACTGCCCGAGACTTTAGCGTAAAAAATACACACTCTTCAACCGTCGTGAAACCAGCAGCAGCAGTATAGATTGTACATTGCTTTCAGTATTTAAGGAAACACTACTTTCACCATAAAATGAATGTTCAAATAATTGGCGAATTCCAACTTCTCCAAATGAAACGGGCAGTTCTTCCTTATCAGCACCAGAACACGTACGTTAATTAAATTTCGGCTGAACAATATCGCAAACGACCATATGTAACCTTACTTCTAATATCTTATCTAAATTGAACAATTTACATAAGCGATAAAATTAAAAAGAAAAACTGCGCATCTAACAAATTTCTAAAACGAAAAATCGAGCTTGTGGACTGACATCAATAGAAATACACGCGAAGTACGCGGTTATCTCTGGGCGTTTGCGATAAGAGTCCTGATCGCGACGTAAGCTCATTAGTTTCAAGATAAGCACGTGTTATCGTCGATGTGAGCAGATGTTAATTCTTTCGAAGACGCAGTATCTTGTTAAGGAAGGAAGAAAAGGCATCGTTTTTAATAGAACTTCCTGTTCGTTAATCGTGGCTTTTTGTTGGGTGGGCGTTTTTTGTCGCAAAATGTCAGTTTTACCGGTATCGAAGCTTTTTGTAAGATTTTTTCTTGGCATTTCTATCGGTTATTAAGTTCCGTAGAGGAAAGTCTAGTCGAGTTAAGCTCAAATATGGGTTACGTTACACGGAGAAAAGTGAATTTTATAAGTCGAGTTAAGCGGAAGTGTGTTTTACGTTTACGATGAAGTTTTCCAATATCGTTAAAGGGAATTTTTCCACCATCAAAGGGCCATAATTGTAACTACAACGAAGTCAGTATCATCTAAATCGAGATTCGAGTGCTATAATTGAAGTTGAGAAGTGAAATTTCGGAGCAATATCACCTGGGGCCTATAACACAATCGTATGTAGGATGAGAAAAAAATGATGTTGGGACTTTTCCCACTCCCTGTACCATATTGTCTCGCATATTGTACAGGGTGGCCCAAATTGAACAATCTCTTCACCCTTTATTGATGGAAAGAAATGGACACTAGGTGTCTGGAGCTCAAATCACTGGAGCAAACAGAATTCAGCTATCTCATCGATTCGCAGCTAGAGGGCGTTTCTCAAACTTAGTCTATTTCTTTAATGTCCCATAACTTTCGTATTATTGATGTTGGCAAAATTTTTCTTAGAGCACTTTTTTATGTAGAATCCATCACGATACACAGTCTTTATACAGAGTGTTTGCTTTTATACGATCCCTAAACTACATTTTTTTCGTAAGAGCCACCCTACTATATGTGTGGAGTTTTTGGAAAGAGCGTAAAATTTCCGTAATTTTGACTTGTTAATTGTTATACATATTTATATTAAATGAAACCTAGATGTTTGCAATAAAAATATTTTTTATTATACCTGAATCACAATCTCTGTTTTAAACACTCAAATGCGTGCGAAAAAGGGCCTTTAAAACACACGTGCTTTAAAGTTGCTAAGTAACGATACTTCAAGTATGACTTTTGAAACTGTCATCTAGATGAAATAAAAACTCCTCTTAGGTCGCTTTCTGTAAATGCAGAACATTTCTTTGGCTTTTGTATCTATCCTTTGGTTGAAGCTTTCACAAACGCGCGTAATTTAGGGCATGCTTCCAAATCGGTTCCACTTTTTAATCGCAGCATTTCTTTAGTTTTGAATCAATGCACCAAAATATAGAAGATTTAAATACCTTTGACATTTCTTTCATATATGCCAGCATTATGGATGCATTTAAGACTGTATTCGTAAGTAACTTCCTATTCATCCACTTTATAATAGGCTTTACTGGAGTTGGATTTTACACCTACCAACGTTTGTTTAGATTTTACAACAATCGATTTAATGGGCGGTGTATTATCTTTTTCAACGGAAATCGTTTTATTCACAAAGACGACGATTTTTATAAGCAAACGTCAAGTGACATTTCCATGGCAATCGTGAAATTACGAACACCCAGCCCACTTAATTAGACATGTATATCGAGTATAACGTCAATATGACTTCATTGTATTTCCTATTTTTAAATTATACTGCAGGTATAATAAAAAATACTATAAGATACACGTGTATAATTAGTCTTTAAAGCACTTGCAACGTTAAAGGCACTCCGCTTTGCGTCGTGCCCTTAAACTCGTTGCGCGTGCTTTAAAGACTTGATTATACACTTGTATCTTAATATACTATTAATGCATACAATGCAATATTGCAAATAATATTTAATATAAATATAACAAGTGATACATCCAAAATTAGGAAATTTTACGCTCGTTTTAAAAGCTCGCAAATATATAGGGTGGTCCGTACGAAAAAAAATGTAGTTTAGGGTCGTATAGAAAAACCAAACACTCTGTATAACAAATTGTGTATCAAGATAGATTCTACATAAAAAGGGCTCTGCTCTAAGAAAGATTTAGCAAAATCAAACATCTTTAATAATAAGAAAGTTATGGAGTATCAAAGAAATCGACTAAATTCGAGAAACGCTCCCTAGCAGCCAAACGATTAGAGATATGTAGCCGAATTCTGTTTGCGCCACTGATTTTCTCCTTAAAATTGAGCTTCAGGCACCTAGGCCCATTTTTTTAATCTTAAAATAAAGCTTGTTTCCATAAGAAAATGTCCAATTTGGACTACCCTGCACTTAGTTATTATACCTAATGGATGGACCTACCTAGATTACAAACTTTTAATTCGCTCGATGGTGTTTCTTATTTCCACTCGGATATGTTTCAAGAAATCTGTATTTGCTTCACTGATAGTTGGAGTAATATTTTTTTCATTTGGAATGAAAGTATTTGTCGAGTTTGTAATTAACGAAGAGCGTAGGTCATATAGAAATAGATTTGGAAGCAAAGATTCACCGCCTGACTAAATTTTAACCAAATATATAAATATAATGGCAACCGAGATCCGTGAACAAGTTGCTATGGTTATAAAGCGATATTTCAGCTTGGGAAAATGCTAATTGTTGCTATATGGCAAACGTTTGAATACGTGAGCATCGAGGTGAGACTGTATCTCCTCGTACGTCATTCAGGAAAACGAAGTGATAGTAATTAATTCCCTAAACGTGCACTGCATGCCGTATGGAAGTGGCTATCGGTAGCAACAATAACAAGGAATTCGGAAATCTTGTTCTGCGAAACTATCTTTTTTTTCAATTTTTGTTTATTCATTTTCGATGCACCAAATTTCGAGATTTTCGACATTCACTTTACATCATCAGAACTGTTTCCGCCCGTCCGTAACAAAATCGGACGGGTGAATGTGACAACCAAAAAAGTTTTCGGGACCCTCCAAAACCCTCCTTGGAATTGCTTCAATTTTGGAATACATGAATTGACGGCACTCAGCAACGTTGCATTGGGTGTAGCATAATGACCACTCGGGCCGACAAGCTGTATAATTACATACACTCAAGTCACGATTTATGAATGGTAATTATAATTATGGTAAGGAAATTCCCCATTTAATTACAAAAATAACAAGCAATTTTACGTGTATGGGTACCAATTTTTAGTGATTATACACAAGGTTGGCTTCAAAAAAAAGTTCTTCTAGCTTCACACGGTTGACAGCTTTGGTTTTTGTTAAGAGCAAATTTGGTTCGTGTGAACATGGGTAGTGCTTTAAAATTATGCGACTGCAAGTACAACCAGTTAGAGAAATTACTTCCACTACTTCCGGGTGTAGGTAAAAGCGCTTGTAAATTGAATTGGTGCAATTACGTTTATCGCTACCTACGTAAAATGCAAATCAAGGCATCAATTAAATTATAAAGTTAAATCTATCCACATATCGTGCAGCAAAATCGATAGTGCTGCGTACTATTGGGTTTGTGATCGTCATGGAATTTCCTTGGTATACCAACCATGGTGTAGGCATAACTGTTGGCATCATTTGGCGTGCATTTGATGACCTTCCTCTTTATAAACATAATAATCGTTGAATACGTTTATAATTGCTAGCGAGACAATGATGAGAATTCACTTGGCGAAGAATCTAAATGCAGACTAATAGCTAATTAGGAAGTATGTACGTGTTCGTTTATTACATAATAGCATGTTTTCACCATGAATGGAACGTACGACCAATAAAGTGTAACTTAATAATCGTTTCTTTGTTTCGAAATTGTTAATACAATTATAAATATTAATTTCGAAAAGGCTGCCCCGTTGCCTCACGTTCGTGTATTGAAATCGCAACGTTAGAACAATGCTCGGCATGCAAGTCATTGTATAGTTTTGAATTGAAAGGAAAATTCATTATTTCCAGCAGATTCGCGTAGAAGTTTACCATCCATTGTGTCGATTACATGCTTGAAACAATACAGGAAAGTCTAAATGCATTCCCACGTAAGGTTATCTTATCGAAATGGCATGCATGTTTAGGTCTTTGTAACACGCGCTACCGCATTTCTATATTCTTGTTTATTGTTTCAGATTATGCGACCTGACGTTTCTTGAGATGAAAACCGACCAAAGTATCATTATGGACTCAGATGGCTCAGTATCTATAGGGAAAGGTCTGCTGATGACTCCCAAAACGGTTGGTTACCAATACGTCGTAAGCAAACACAAAAGGGCCGGCTCGACTGGGACCACTGGCGATGAGTCCTACACGACGGACGAAGAAGACAATGTGGACGACGAGCCAGACTGTTCAATAAAAGAGCACGTTACTAGCAAACTATTCGATAATCACGAACACGACTTTGCCTACTCCGATATTGCCACAATTGCCGATAAAGTTGAACATTTAAGTGTTATGCATAGAAATAGCTCCGATAGTTCCGTGTACAGTGACTTAGGTTTAGACAAAACGGACGAACTTCACTTGCAATATCCGAATTTATGTGCAACAAACTGTTATAAGCGTAAAGACGATCAGGTGACCTGGACCAGATCGGCGGCGGAAGTCAAAGAACAAACATTTGCGAAGTTACAAAAAGAACTTCAGGAAGCCCACCAAGAGCTCAAATTGCGAGACGAAGAAGTCAACAGGCTTAGCAGGATACGGCAGGATGTCGAGACGGAATTGGAAGATTTGACGGCTAGCTTGTTTCAGGTGAGAATTTTAATTGCAACTTGTTTGTGTGTAAATCAGGTGCGGCTTGATTTCCCAAACAATGATTTGCATATAGAATACCTTAACACTTTCCGAAACTGTTCTGCTGCCTTTTTCTTGCAATGGTCATAAAAATTAATCCACTATGACCTTGCGAAACAACAATGGCTGAAATGGACGTGCTGCCATTACCTTAATTCAATAATCGCATTGTGGCAGTAGATATAACGGGATTCGCCTTAATTGAATTATTACAATAAGATTGAAAACGCATTTCGTTTATCGAGGTTAGTAGGTGGCTTACATTTTTGCGTAATATCTAAATAAGTACCATCAGAAATTGATATACCGAACGCACTTAAAGATAATGTAAAAACGTTTTAAAAGCCCATTTAAATATCAAGTAGACTGTAAAACAACAGAAGTGAAAACGCTCGTAATGAGTGAAGCGTTTAAATGTTTCCTCCTTCCAACGATACGTTTCGTCCTTTGTTAATTTCATACTTCTAATTAATGATGTAATGTCTTGTTCCATGTTTGATTTGTTTTTTAAGTAACCTGTTCCAAGGATATGCATACCATCTAGCTGTGACCCATAAATTTGGGTAGGAATGCGGCACTTAAAACATCAATATTTGGCAAGACGCACATAACTTTCTGTCGTAAAAATTCCTTCATCACTGACCCTTGCTGCTCTTTCTTCCAAATGGTTTCTGGACGATTGAGAACTATACACAATTGAAAAAAAATATTTGCCAACTGAGTGTGTTCACCTGAGAAGATACGGTAGTTATAAATAAGCTGTTTGTTGTGGAAATGTTTCAGTGTTATCGCATTTTTGAGTTGTTATCATTTTCAAGGAGAGATTAGTACAAAAGGCGTAATGTACATATACCTTAAAAAAACAAAATCTGCGTAGAAAATAGATATCATGAAACGTAGTTTAAATGCAAAAAATTCCAAAGATATTACGAGTAGTCTAGGGGATAAAGACATCTAACTGGACATTTTGAGCTGGAAAAGAAAAAAATGGTGGAATATGTTCAGTTAGGTGTCAGAAACAACATATTAAAAATCCCACCCTCCAGACCCTGTGCTAAAGGCCACCCCACCATCCCCCAAAAACCGTGTTTTCGCTCTTTTTGGCTGATATCTCGCGATCTATGAGGTCTATATGAAATATTTATAGCTGAAAATATTTCTCGCGAAATTTCATACAAGGTAGATACTCAGAAGTTAGCCTAGGTGTACCTCTTAGCCTAGGAAATTCATAAAAGAGACTAAAATCATCAATTTTCGTGGCTTTTTGCAAATATATCGCGACCTTTAGGGCTAGATGAAATATTTTGAGTTGAAAATGCTCCTCGTGAAATTTCTTACAAGGTAGATACTCAGAAGTTAGCCTAGGTGGTACCTCTTAGCCTAGAAAATTCATAAAAGGAGGCGAAAATCATCATTTTCATGTTTTTTTTTGCGGTTTTTTGCAAATATATCGCGACCTTCAGGGCTAGAGGAAATATGTTTAGCTGAAAATGCTCTTCGTGCAATTTCATACGAGATAGGTAACTGAAGAGTTGGCGTAAAGTCACCTTTCACCTTCAACTTTCCTGTGTGAGGAAATATTCATTGTAAAACAAAGTATTTCTATGTACCATTTATTCACGTAAAAACAGTATTTTCACTTATAATTGCACAAGAGGTTTGTATTTTACCGAGTAAATTTGGGTTGTTTAGGTAATGAAAATCTGTTGCCTAGCAATTAGACGAGAAAAACTGTCAACTAATAAAAATGCGACACCGCAGGTGGAGCATTTTTAGGTTGACAGTTTTTCGAGTTCAATTGCTAAAAGGCAACAGATTTGAATTGCAACAACACAAATTTACTCGGTTTAAATACAAACCTCGAGTGTAATTCGGCAGGACAATTTAACGAACAAGAAATTCACATAACTAATCAATTACTGACAGACGTCAAACTAGTCATATGGGAAAGGATAATGCGATAATTGGTTCGAAAATGAATAAGTGAAAAAACCACTAGTGCATTTGTCGCTGGAAAAGTTGCAGGTAACTTTTGCCGCTGTCAAAGTGACAATTTCACTGCGGCTTATGCGATTTTTTATACATGAGTTGAATTGTCATATTAAAATATTCACACATTCATTTATACCTCAACGTAATCATTATCCTCTGCAGATTTATTATTCAATGCTTCAATTGAAGTCTTCTGTCCTGGAATGCACATTTCAAAGATTCACGTCCGAGGAGGAAATCGCAGTGATATCCAGAGCAGATGTTCAGGGGATTGTAACGTCTAAGGTCGAGGACCTCATTTAGATAAAATAAAATTGAACCTCTACGGCACTAGCAAAAATTTTAAGATTTTGCGGAGGTTTAGCCGTTGTTATCCTTTGAAACTTGATATTCAAAATCTAATATTGTGGTTTGATTGAACTCGAATAATTACGCATGACTTTAGTTAATTATACATATTAATAACAACAAAACCGATCAAGTTTCATTTTTTTTACAGGTTCTTGTATATAAATTATCGGTTTAACTCATAAAAAGAACTACAAAATATACAATGCCTATTTCATGATCACGTAATCATTCTAAATTTGATCCTTATGTTTGCCACATGATTAATTACTGGTACATTCTTCTGTTGAAAATATACATATACACCTCTGAATGCTAAGCAAAATTTTAATCCAACCAAAGGCATGATATTACTGACATTGAATGCAATTTTGCCAATCAATGAAGCAAAATAACCAACATTCTTTGTTTGGGTTCGATTCTGCTTCATAAATGTAACACAGATCTGTTCATACAATTAATTTGCATGGGTCGATTCCTTTAGGAATATTAAAATTACTTCACAAAATTATTATGCAAATTCCTAAAAATAACAGGCACTAGTACTTTATACAAATGCAAGAATTTAAAAGACCCGACAGTAATTGACGTAGTTGAGATTCCTTTCAGGTGTCGAAACGGATAGGATTATTCTCATAGATTTTTATTGCTCGAAACAACGAACTAGGCTAATCTCCCGTTTTAAAATTGCAGGGAACTCTCCCTTTGATACGACTTCAACTTTAATTAAACGTTTCTTCACGACTTACTCAACATTTAGGGGTTCTCGCTACTCATCACGTCACGTGCTCGGCTTTAGGCAATACGGAACGAAACTTTTAATTTAATTTGTTAAAATTGTAGGTCCTCATTTTTAAGTCGGCAGGGTTTCAGCCAAGGCTGCTCTACCAAGGCGTTCGCTTTCCGCAATGCGTTTCTTGATATCGATTGTTATCGCCAGACATATTTTCGTTTACGTTCGCTATGAAGCACATGTGGAAATTTCCCTATGCAGAACAAAATACAAATTCGAAAAAATACTTTTTTAAGTCTAAAGGGGCCTCATGTTACAGGATATCCCAAGATTTCCACAGATATCCGAGGATGTTCAAGGATATCGTAAAGAAGTCTGTAGTTTAATATTTATTATTGGTTTTATTGGGCCGCTACGTATATCGGCCAAGTGTGTCAAAAGAAAATTCAGTGGAAGTGGGACTAAAAAGAAACATTTTTTTGGTCCAAAGTGATTCTTCTTGAATTTCTTTAGCACATAGGAGGGTGGGATTAACCGACTTAGCTAGGTCTTTGCGTATGTGCTTTCTCACATTGCAAACATTTTTCAATTCGTAGTCCCAAGTTAGGGCATCTCTTAACGGGGGTGTTGTAAAAAATTCCGGACCGGAAATTTCATGAAATTCTGGCCATTTTTTTTGTTATTTTCATGTTAAAAAATCCCGATACCAAATTTCGTCGAGATCAGTCATACTAGCTTTAACGGCCGAAAATGAACGGTTGCCGTTACCACCTTTTACGGCACTTTTTTCGAAGAATCTGAATCTATTAACTGAATTTTCATAACACGCTAGAAGCTACAGGCTACTAGTTTTTTAGCGCATTTTTAAGAATTAAATAAAAGTGCTATTGTTTGCGTTTTGTCCGTCCGTCCGTCCGGACCCACTTCCACTACCGTTTTGAACTACTTCTAGGGGAATGGTCCTAGAGTCCTGCAATTTTTTGCAGTAGGTAGCCTATACCTTGAAGGTGTGCCAGACGGCCATCAAATTTCTCTGTCTAAAAGCCCCCCCCCCCACGAATTATTTCCTGAGATGCTGTTTTTGAAAGTAAAACGTGCATAACTTTTACATACGTCAACCAATTGTTCTCAGATGTTGCATACGCATGCCTTTAGTGGTGCTAAGTTAAACTTTAGGAAATGGGGGGGGGGGACCACATGTTCTACCCTGACCGTGAGCGACGGGGCCTGAGGGGGGGGGTAAAAATTAATTTTATCTCTCATTATATTCTAATTAAAGGTCTCAACGAGAGGAACCGTTTTCTACTAACTACTGCTCTTCTTTCTGTGTCCTTATCAAAGTACGGGATGGAGGGAGGGGAGGAGTGGAACTAGTTTTATCCTTCATGGTACTCTAGTGAAAGGTCTCAACGAAAGGAATTAATTTCTACCAACCATAGCCCTCCTCCTCGACCTCTTATCGTGATCCGGTATATTCCCTTATACCTCAAGAACGGATTGTCGGAAGAGAGTACTCACAAAGGGCGATTGACACGTCTGCAAGAAATATATCCATTGGTGATGTCAAAACAAAAGCTATTTCGGTTGAAAAAAATGCGCTTTATCTGCACAAGAATTGTGCGCAATTTATACTTGTTATTTCTTAGGGACGCCATTATGGGATTTTTATGGTTTCGATCGAGGTGTATGTGTCAGTTTCGGGATTTTGTTGCGTAGAAGCCAAGCCACTGTTGAAAGTGTCAAACTTCACGATGCTACGTTTTGAAACAACTGTCAATCTCGAGTTCAATCTAATTTGCAATTCCTGTGTGGAAATCTTGGTCAGTTTTATAGAAGATTTCAGCCCAACCACCAAGCTCTATTTCTTAACAAATCCAATTTCCAC